TGACTGTCTTCGTCAACATGTCCGTCGGATTTTGACTCCCCAAAATCTTTATTAAATGTAACTTTTCGTCCTCGATCAACGAGCGTATAAAATGGTATTTGACGTCGATGTGCTTTGTTCTGGTATGATATACTGGATTCTTGGTAAGATGTATAGCGCTCTGGCTATCACAATAAAGAACTCCTCTTCCTTGCTTCAGATCCAACTCTTCCAAGCACCCGTTCAACCAGATCATCTCCTTGCTTGCTTCAGTCACCGCGACATACTCAGCCTCGGTTGTAGACAAAGTCACGATCTTCTGCAGACGTGAGACCCAGCTCACTGCTGTCGATGCTAAGGTATAAACATACCCCGTGGTGCTTCGTCTCGTATCATGATCACCGGCGAAGTCCGCATCCACGTATCCCTACAGCACCAACTCCTTCCTCCTGAAACATAGTAGCTTATTCGTTGTTCCCCTCAAGTATCATATTATCCACTTCACGGCCTCCCAATGCTGCTTTCCTGGATTGCTTGCAAATCTGTTCACAACTCCCACTGCATGGGCGATGTCCGGCCTCGTGCAAACCATCGCGTACATGAGACTCCCAATGGCCAAAGAATATGGCACCCTGCTCATATGCTCTCTATCTGCATCTGTCTTAGGCGATTGCTCCTCAGATAGTTTGAACTGACTTCCAAGAGGTGTGCTAACAACTTTAGCATTCTGCATATTAAACCTCTGAAGTACCTTCTCAATGTATTCAGCTTGGCTCAATCTCAATGTCCCTTCAGTTTCATCCCTACTGATTCGCACCCTTAGAATCTGCTTCGCTGCACCCAGATCCTTCATTACAAATTCCTTTGCTAGCTACCTCTTCAAACTGTTTATCTCTTCTAAACACGGTCTTGCTACCAACATATCATCAACATATAATAACAAAATAATAAAGTTGGATTCGAACCTTTTGAAATAACAGCAATGATCCGAAATGTATCTTCTGTAGCCATTGTTCTTCATGAAGTTATCAAACTTCTTATACCACTGTCTCGGAGCCTGTTTCAAACCATATAAGCTCTTCTTGAGCTTGCACACCATCTCTTCCTTTCCTTCTTCAATGAAGTCAACAGGCTGCTTCATATGGATTTCTTCATCCAAATCACCATGAAGAAAGACAGTCTTCACATCTAACTGCTCAAGGAAGAGGTCTTCTGCAGCTACCAAACTCAACACCACTCTGATGGTTGTGAGTTTCACAACAGGGGAAAATATCTCCGTGTAGTCTACTCCTTCCCGCTGTTGAAACCCCTTCACGACTAATCTGGCCTTGAATCTCTTGCTTCCATCACTCTTCTGCTTGACCCGGTAGATCCATTTATCGTGCAAGGTTTTCTTCTGTGCAGGTAGCTGGGCTAACTCCCATGTCTCATTAGTGAGTAGAGAATCCATCTCCTCCTGCATCGCATGCTCCCACTGTTGAGATTCACTCACTTGCACTGCCTCTTCATAACACTCCGGCTCTCCGTTATCTGTTAAGAGTAGTTAATCAAGTGACGAGAGGTATTTGGGATTTTATTTGGGTACCCTGGATGACCTCCAAAGCTCCACGCCCTGGGTAGTAGCTTCTGCACCTGTAGTCTCCTCCGTTCTACGGTCAGAACTGACATCGTCGCCCCCATCTGGAAGTTCCTCCAAATCCATGTACTCGGATCCATCTGTATCCGTAGTGCTCCCACTGCTTTGGCTATCCTTGGCATTATCCCTGTCCTTGTACATCACCTCCTCATTGAATATCACATCCCGGTTCCTGATGATCTTCCTGTTCTTTTCATCCCAAAGGTGATACCCGAACTCATCAATGTCGTATCCAATGAATGTGCACTTCTGTGACTTAGCTTCTAGCTTGTCCCTGATATGGTCACTGATATGAACATAAGCCACACAACCAAATACCCGCAAGTGTGAGAGATTTATCTTCTTTCCACTCCAAACCTCCTCTGGAATCTCAAAGTCTAATGGAACTGATGGCCCGTGATTAATAAGGTATGCTGCCGTATGCACCGCATCCGCCCAAAATGTCTTAGGCAGACCTGCATGTAATCGCATGCTCCGCGCACGCTCTGTCAAGGTCCTGTTCATCCTCTCTGCAATGCCGTTCTGCTGCGGCGTCCCTGGAGTAGTCCTCTCTAAGCGAATCCCATTCGTAGCACAGAACCTCTTGAACTCCTCCAACTCGTATTCTCCACCATTATCTGATCTCAAGCACTTCACCTTCAGTTCTGTCTCGTTCTCGACCATGGCCTTCCACTTCTTGAAGATTTTGAACACCTCTGACTTGTGCTTCATGAAGTAAACCCACACCTTCCTCGAGTGATCGTCGATAAAGGTGACGTAGTATCTCGAACCGCCAAAAGAAGACACACTGGCTGAGCCTCATACATCTGTATGAATCAACTCTAGCTTCTGAGCCTTAGGTAGCCTTCCACCCTTCTGGAAATTAACCCTATTCTGCTTCCCAAAGATGCAGTCTTCACAAACCCCGACTTTCAAGGTGTGGATCCCGGTTAGCTTTCCTTGTGAATGTAGAATTTTCATCCACTTCTCGCTCATGTGTCCTAGTCTGTTGTGCCACAGATCTGTACTCTCCTTGCCAGCTGGAATTGCGAGGGTGTCACTCACATGTGAAGTGAGGTAGAGAGTTCCTGTTTTATTGCCTCGGGCAACAACCATCGTACCGTTGGAGATTCTCCACGAATCCCCGGTGAATGTCGAAACGTAGCCTTCTGCTCCAAGCTGTCCCACCAAAACAAGATTCCTCTTCAGCTTCGGCACGTGTCTCACGTTCTTCAAATTCCACTTAGAGTCATTTATCTGTATCTGAATGTCGCTCTTTCCAACAATATTACAAGGTTCATTATCCCCCAAATATACTTTACCAAAGTCCCCTGCTACATAGTTCTGAAGTAGTTTCCTATTAGCAGTGGCGTGGAAAGAAGCTCCTGAGTCGATGACCCAAGAATCAGAATCGCTATCCATAGCAAGGATCAAGGCATCCTGCACGATATGAGCCTCCTGCTCACCCGCATCCTTCTTTGGTGCTTTACAGACCGAAGACATATGACCTTCCTGGTCGCAGTTCCAACACTTCCCTTTGATAGACCTAACCTTCGAGTTCGGCCTCTTCTTCACTGATTTCGACCGATTCCTGTTCTGCTTTCCCTTCTTCTGCCTTCTGCCTCTCTGCTCGAAACTTAGGGCTGAACCTGAACCTTCTGATTCAGACGATTTTTTTCTAACCTCCTCGGATAGAATCATGCTAACAACCTCATTCAGCTTCAACTTCTCTTTCTCCGCCGAATTGCTGATTGCCGTCACACAACCTGCCTAACTATCCGGCAACTACGATAGTAGTAGAATGGCCTGCACTTCGTCATCGAACGTGATGTCCACGAAGATAAGTTGATCAACAATCGTGTTGAACTCGCTGAGGTGCATCGTAAAGGACCGTCCTTCTGTCATCTTGAGGTTGAAAAGAGTTTTGACTAGAGGCACCTTGTTTACTGCCGACGGTTGCTCGTACATCTTCGTGAGCGCTTCCATAAGCCCCACCGTCGTCTTCTCCTTCAGAATATTATGGGCTACTGATTTGACGAGCGACAACCGGATTTTCCCTAGAGCCTTCCTATCCAGTACCTCCCAATCACCATCTGACTCCTCTTTCTTCTTTCCCTTTTCCTTACCCATCAACGGACGATACAAGTCCTTCTGGTACAGATAGTCCTCCATCTGCGACTTCCAGTAGGCGAAGTCTGAACCGTCAAACTTCTCGATCTTTGATTTGCTTTCCTCTGCCATGGCTTTCACACAAATTGCTGAACAAAGCTCTGATATCAGTTGTTGGGGATTCGAAACAATCAATCGAACCCTTGCCCTTTCGGACATTGTGTTGAAAGTAGGAAAGTAGGAATAAAACCACAAATAAAGATCTAACCTTGCAAAAACAGTAAAGGAGAAGAACACAGATTTAACGAGGTTCGGCAACGTGCCTACGTCCTCGGGAGCCACACCACACAATCTCTTTATTAATTGAAGAAGAAAATACAAGCTCTCAAACAAGGGATTAATCTCTCTGAGATTCTCTCTCTTTGCAGTCAAAAAGCTACAGGGTTTTGGCGGTCGACCGGGTCGGTCGACCGCGACCTGATCCAGGCTCTCCCAGCCCCCTGTGCACGTTCGCGGTCGACCGACCCGGTCGACCGCAGATCTGTCTGCTCGATTTTCTATCTTTTTGATTCCAGCTCTTGTCTCGAACTTTGGGTCTACACCTTAGACTAACAAAAGATGCAGTTTCAAGTAGAAATAGTTTATGAAAATGGCGTATGTTAATTGTTTACATCACTACAATGAAGAAAATATATCAGTTAGAAGCGTGAGGATTCTCAGGATGGACATGGGAGCCCCAAGATTCTGCAAGCTGAGCAGAATGATGAATAGTATATGATGTTGATGCTATCAAACACTTCATCTTCATGTTTAAAACTCGACTTTTCTCTTCCAGAGCATCCAAGGAGTTGCAATAATTTTACAATCCCATTCTCTGTGTATTGTATCCAAAACTTAATTTATAGTGCTATTTACCAACAAAATTATATATATGATGGAGGTTGTTGGGTCTCTTTTGGCAAAATATAATGATTTTATACGCCGTTTTAATAAAGCTAGGTTCTATAGCAACAAATTCACATTTATCAGTCAAATGTACATATGTTCAAGCGATATACATATATAGTTGTGTCTCCATGTCTAGACATCAGTCTCATTCTTATTAGATCACAATAAATGTACTGGATATTCTATTTGTTTGTCCACCCATCAGTCTGTCTTGCTTATCAAAACTTCACGGTACTCCTACATCGAGCATAATCAACTAATCAATTTATTATTCCTTTACTAAATTGAAAAATAACTGTACTCCTGGTTTCTATGACAAGATATTTCATTTTCTTCCTCCCGCTTGCAGATTGTGAAGCCCTTTCTAGAGCACAAGACATACAAGAAAGTGAAGTTTGTATACTCTGATGACATCGAGAGCCAGAAGGTAATAACCGATAACTTTGACATGGACAAGCTGGAATTAGCCTTTGGGGGCCGTAATCCAGTAGGCTTCGACATTAACCAATATGCTGAACGGATGAAAGAGGACGACAAGAAAATGTCAGCATTTTTAACATCAGGCACCTTCCTCAAGTCTGTTCACCAAAGATCAGAGTCGTTGGTAGCTGAACCTCAATCAGAGGAAGCCTTATCTGAGAGCTCTTCCTCTGGCAATGAGTTGAAAGAGAAGCTTAGCTGCAAGACTAATGTTGCTACAAAAACAGAGAACAAACCAGATGTGATTCAAATTAGTGAGTCTGTTTGAGAGTGATAAATGGAGGCATTATTTCACTGATATTATCAATACAATTGTTTAATCTAACTCCACATTTTGTTCCCTGTGTAATTGAGCTCTAAGCCATTTGATACATTGTCCATGTTTCTAGTGTATTCTCTGTGATCTGCAAGTTTATGACTTTGGCTTTTTAACCATCTGTACCGTAACTTGTAACTCTGAACTCAAGTTGATTTCAGTCTATGAATCTCTGAGGTGTCTTTAAATTGGTCTGTTTTGTGATGTAGTAAGCCTGAAAGGAGTGAAGCACTAAATGTCAGTACAACAACTGCTAAGTATATGGCATAATTTTCTGACTAGTTTTACTAGTAGTATGTGGCAATATTATGATACATGACTGATGCCAAAATTATCATGTTTGATGAAGTGGGTGATAGTTATTGTCAACTAGTCATGATTCTGAATTTTTTGGCTTTATGATTTACTTGTTGAGTCCACTATTGATCTAGGTGCAATCAACTTTATGAACCGGCTGTAAATTGAATGCGTAAAGGTTTTAAAGTTGTACTTCATTTTATTTCATGCACTTTTCTACAGATAAGACTCCAGAAGCACTCAACTCCATGCTTTCTTATTAGCCAGATTGGTTAACAAACAGTAGGCCCTAGACAGATCATTCACATGTATGATGCATGAACTCTAGTCATCTATGTAGACATACAGAGATGGGTCTAGTCATGCTCATAGGGAGTCTTTATCCAGTGAGACAGAGAGTTAGCCTTATGTCTCTTTGCAAATCTGATGGCATTACTTTGCCAATCAAAAGCTTAAGGCAAGGGAGCCCCATCCACATGCCTCTTTATTACCTTAAATCTTAAAACACCAAAAAGAAGGGGGAAAAAAACTATGGAGGGCCCTCTCTATGATGATCACATTGATTTCTTATGCTGTTTGTATTGGTTCAATCTTTGGTTTATACAGATTTAAGACCACGTATTGGCCCGTACTTTCGAGTAACAATTCGATCAATATTCATAACGTTTTAGGTCTTAAAAAGATCATGAAGGATTAGAAAAGGAACCAGGAGATTTGGATCAAATGAATATTAGGTGTTGTTGATAGAAGTGAGAGAGGTTGCATGTCAAAATTTTGCATTAAGAGAGAGATACATGCATTGGTTTTGGATTCTGTTAGTTAAGAGTAGGAGATTCGCTTACCAACAAAGTGAGTGTGTTTGATTAGTATAATATTTGAATATATAATGCATCAAGTTAAGACTTAGTACCAGAAATCTAGACTCAACACTATCCATCACACGTGACTTTTGAGCCTTGTCCTCTGCAAATTAGTCATATGCCTGAGCACATAATTTTATAATTTGTGCATGTAACTGTGTCCGTGTACAACTTCATTCTTATTATGGATATCTTTCATGGCATACCTTATTGCCTTAAACACCTCCAACTATGTTCTTTTATAATGGAATCAAATCTAAGACGGTGGTCGGTGGGAGTCATATTAGAAACTCTTAACTGTTCGGGTTATTCGCGATGTGCTCGAACACCTCCAATTATTTATAAATGTTACTTTACAAGTCCAAAGATAGGATAAAAAGCTATCAACCACCGTCATCTTTTCTTTTTCATAATTACACTTCTGACCCCAATATGTTAGTAGGCGGAGTAAATTATTCCGCCTTCTCAGGCGGAGTTGTTAACCCGTCATCCGAGGGGTTAACTTGCTGTTATGTCTCACATGCGAGTTAACAAACCCTTTGAGAAAAATTTAGTATTTAGATGTTTAATAAGGGTTTAAACCCTCTTAATCTTTTCATTAACCTGTTGCCAAACAAACAGAGCCTTACGAATTACCAAAGAAAATACATACAACTTCAACAAAAAAAATGAGTGACATATCCAATAAGCAAACACAACTTGCACCATATAAAGGTATCAAAGCACTATGACCTATCTTATCTGAACCGTCCGGTTCATCCGACCTGAGCTCGGCCCGTCCAAATCGGTCTTCTCTAATCCGAACCTCGACGTCCCTGGTCTCCGGTCTGGTTCGGCTGGTCGCTGTTCCAACCCGACCCGAACCGGATTCGGACCAACATTTACGGAGTTCTCACTCCGGCAGCTCAACAGCCCTCCGGCCGCCTTCCTCCTGCTCCCTCCACTGTTTCCCGCCCCTCAGCCATTCGTCCTCGGTCTGAATGACCTCACGTCACCGCAATCTGACGCCGAGCTCGAGAAATTCGCCACGCGTCGTCAGATCGAACCCTCCGTCAGCTGTCCGTCACGCTCCACACGACGCTCACCTCGCTCGCGGATAGCACTCATCGGTGCAACCGACGCCTCGGTCGTCAGTCCAGCTCCCCACCCCGAGGGATCTCTGACGGGGTCCCCGTCATCCTCGGAAACTCGTCGAGCGAGTCCCGGCGACGGAGCTCCGGAGTTCGTCGAGAAGCTGTCGATCTCGAACAGGTCCGAGCTTGTGTCACTCGCCACGTCATCGCTCCGGCGAAACGGAGGCGGCCTTCGGAGAAACTCGGCCCGACCTCTGATCTTCGCCGTCTCATTGCCGGCCGGAACACTCGAGCGAGGCGCGGGGCGGATCATCATCGCCGGTTCCGTTTCCGGCGGCGGAAGCAGCGGCGGGGCGAGTATCGGGAAGGAGAATCCAGCAGACTCGGTGAACGTCGGCGCGGAGTTCACTATCCGGGGACCGACCTTGGGCGAGAGACATTTAGAGTCTTTTGCCCAAATTCCAGCTGATAATTTCAACTTTGCCACTCCCTCAACTGAATCTTTACTGCCCAAAGTACTTCCATCAGTACTCACTTTATCCGCACCGACTCGAAGAGTACTCTTAGATTCCGCACTTTTCTCCTCAACGTCAACCGATTTTTTCCCGTAACAGGGACAGTTTCGGCCGAAAAATCTCCGGCACAACCCATTCTTTCTCTTCTCATTCAAAGGAAAAGCTCTCACACTAACATTAACAGAACGAGGGGGGTTCTTCAAAAGCCCTGACTGACTGTTCCAGCTCGCCTCTGATGACAGAGTCGGAGTTGTTGCCGATCGAAATGACCGATAACTTTTCGCATATCCGTCCACCGACGAGACCGAAGAGTCTCGCGGGTTGGTCAATGGATCGCAGGTCTCTTTGAAGTATCGCTCGGCATCGAAGACGCAGATATCTGCATCGTCAGCGGCGGAGACTCGGCGGGTGATTGGAGTTTTTGGAGGGAGAGAGATATGAGATGGGGGGTTCGTTTGAATGGAGAGTGTTTGAGAGAGATTGGGGTTGAAGTTTGCTCTGAGTCTGTATCTCTCCATTGTCAGCGTGTTTTTTTTGGAAGTGATCAACGACAATGAGGGTATATATATACATATATATATGTATGTAGAATTTTTAACTTCACTTTTTTTCCCCCGGTTGGATATCTGGTTGCGTGATCTACTGGACGGTTGTAGAAATTCTGCAGGGCGTTTACAGTGTTGTATTATTCACGTGGGTCCTTTTGGTCTCCTTTTCCTTTTCACTTTAGGCTTGATTTGGTAAGGTGATCACGGAAGTTGCAAATGAGGTGGAGGGAAGTACATCCTTTTAAATTTTTATGTTTGGTAGGAGCGAGGGGGTGGTTATTTTCTTTCTACTCTTGAATCCTCCCTCCCAATTTGAAGGGATTCTTCTCTTTCTAACTTTTTAGTTCATTTTGTAGCGTCCCCTTCCTCCCCTCCTCTTCCCTCACTCTTTAACTTACCCTCTAAAAACCTCCTATCAAAGGCCTTCCTCCCAACTCCAGCCTCAGTGGTAGAAGTTTTGCATAGATGAGTAGTTATGCATGTATGTGATTGCTGTTGTTTGTGATTGGGATAATTGGGAGCTTGACATGTTTCCTTAACATTTTAATATAGTTAAATGCAAGAGTAACGATAACTCCCAATAAATTCTATACTACATTTCATATTATAAAATACAAGAATATCGGTTTCTTCTTAACGAATTATACGAGAGATTATTATTATTTTATAAGGAAACAAGAGATTTGTGTCTTGTAATATAAAACTAGTATGATACTTAACAGTATAGTTATTGCTAGGATATCTTGAATCCTAATGTGTCATTTGTGATCCCTGGTTTATGTTCAATTTCAATATGTTACATGGTAGCCATTTTCAAGAATTATTATTTATATTGTTTCATACTCGAACATCACTATGCAGATCGTGAAATTAGAGATAGCTAGAGGAAAATGGGATTCATGATGATTAGGTAATTCTTTGTGCCATAAAATCACAATCCTTAACGCACATTCGTGCCAGATGAGATTTAAATCCAACTCACTCTGATACTATCTTAAAATCCCTTCTGTTACACTAAAAGCCTGAAATTTAAATGAGAGTTAAGGATATCATTATTTTATGACTCAAGTAATATCCTGATCATCCAAAATCCAGTCTTCCTCCAACTGTCTCAAATTTCAACAACAAAGATTAGATCCAGTCATGGCTCATAAATTTTGACAAACACAAGAAAATCTGTGTGTGTTGCCTTTATGCTCCAGCTAGAAGAGGAATATTGACAGTAGGAACTTGCAATCTATAATAAATCATGTGTTAGTAACCAGAAAGAACACAGGGTCTTTTTTAATTTTAAAATCTATAAGCCAATTAAAGTTGGTGAGATGCAAGAATTTTTATTGAAATGTCAAAAGTAGAAACAGCATAAGTTCACTGGACATTTGTATGGCCAATACCAAACAATTCTAAAAGCACATTCTAGAAGTTTAATATAATTATGCACAATAGCCCAGCAATATATACGAAAAATAATCATAATCCTTATTATAGGCGTCTAAAAATGCCTATAGGTATCCACATACAGCTCGAGACAGAGAGAAGGTGATGAACGTCATTATCTAAGTCTAAGAGGATTTTCCGATGCTAACGAACACATGAAGCGAAACGGCAAACCGAATGGCCTGTACGCTCACCGGCCACCTCCAAGTTGCCCGTGCACTCGTCGGCCAGCTCCAAGTGACCCGCGTGCTCACCGGCCACCACCAAGTGGCCCGCACGCCCATCGGCCACCAAATCGGTGAACCAAGTGGCCCGCGTGCTCACCGACCACCATCAAGTGGCCCGCACGTTCATCAGCCACCAAATTGGCGAACCAAGTGACCCGCGTACTCATCGGCCACCAAAACAGCGTACAAGACGAAACGACGAAATACGCGTAACGGCGCAACAAATAAAAATCCGGAAGACTAAGAAAGCCGCTGGCGGCCGAGTCGCATCGAAACGGCTCGGCCGAACCAGTGGTTCAGCCCATAGCCAGGTCACCAAGGGTGGCTCGGCGGCCGAGCCACCGGGTGACGCTTCGGCCAGATTTAATCTAAAAGTGTGATTTTTCGGTTTTCACGGATTCTCTCGGGATTTGTTGGTTTCTGAGCGTCCCAACTGATCTGATACTATGGTTAATCAGTTCTTAATTGAAGATAAGAAGGAATCCCTCGTTCTTATCCAAATACCCGCTTCCGAAGCTTATAATACGAGCTCAGGTGCTCATTTCTCTAGACTGGAGATCAAGAGGGTGAAACGCTGCCGAATTGAAGAGTGGATCCACGAATTTATAGCAAGGATTAGCAGATCTTGGCGATCTCCTCTGCATAAAGAGTGAAGTTTGAGAGATTCGAGATCCGTCCCCTATTCCTCCGGATTTAAGCTTAGTCTTAAATCTCGAGAAGAGCCGTGATCTCGCTTGGTCGAGATCATCGCTGCAGCGATTACTTCCTTCGTGAAGTAAGAGCTTTGATCATCAATCTGTCAATCGGATCTGATCCGCGGCGGTCTACGGATATTAACGTCCCCGGCACAGGCAAAGATCCCACACAAGCAGTGGGTGATAAACGTCCGTTGCGCTGTTTGACAAGAGTCGTATCTTTTATATTTTCATTGTATAATGAGATCTTATAAAAAGATCAACTTTTTATTTGAGTTTATTGTAAACAATTAAAGTTGTAATAGATTCAATCACAATGAAAACATCGATTTTTGACCCAAACACTTATAACTAGTTCATCAAGAAATTTCTAGTGGTATATGTAGCACACTGACAATAACAATGTGATAAATCTAAGCAAGATTTTTCCCAATAATGTGTCCTTCTGCACTTTATACCTGTGGGGAAAAAAATATAAGGTTAAGCAAAATGGGTCCTTGCCTTAGTTGCCTATCTAGCTTTCTCAATCCAAAAGATATATACTAAAAGTACACGAAAAAGAAATTAAAAAAAAGTACAATTGTGAATATAAAACAATATCCAAAAATGTCAATCTCTCCCCTGAGGTGAAATCTTTTTAGGAGAGCAACAGGTATGGGTCCTTTCATCCCTCATCTCTTTTCTCGGTTCATCGAAGGAAACCTGTGGAATTAAATTCAAACAGATTGCTCACTTTTATAGGACGGATCTCTTGAAATATCCACATCCACATAATTAGATTTCATCATCTATGGAAGTATTTATGTATCAAGAGCATCCCCTACTTTGCACAATTATAGTGTCGCTTTTGATTCTTGTTTTGATGATTTTGTTCAGAGTTCCCATACTTTTGTAGGCCACTGCCAGCAAAGCCAAATCCTGAGCTTGTTGAATACAGAACTCTACTCTTATATGCACTAAGGCAAGCGTATGGTAGTACAAGAGTACACGCTACGAGATGCATCACTCTATTATTTGTTGGGACAACAAGTTGTTGGGTCTTTTGGATGATAATTGTGTCTATGGACTATAATTCTACGCAATTTTATATCGTTTGGGACTGTTATCATCTCAATATACACTTCTTATGAAAATTGATCAGCATGGGTGTGTGTAGTTTCATGACGGTATTCTTTAAATTGTTTCTTGAATTCTTTGAATAAGGTTACTTGATATTGACTCAAATAACCGCATATGTATTAATGTATAAAATTGTGTCTTATGTTTATTTATCACTGTCAGTATCAAGAACACATGAGCATGTAATGTCTGGGATTGAACATGTATCAAGCTTTCCACATGCATACTTTGAAAATGGTTGTACGGAAGATTCGAAGTAAACTGTTAAAATTATGCCTCAAAACCTATTAATAATTCCTCTTGATTATGAACTCTTCTACAACACGAGTTTGGTAGCTGCTTGCCATTGAAATATTGGCACGTGATGCCTTTATTTGAGTCACAGTCAACTTTTGTCTCTAGTGGGATTCGTATTCAATATGGAATTAGTAAAGCTTGGTTTCAATTCAATTAGTGATTCGAATTGATTGGTTGCAGCTCCTGTCATCCAACCAATGGACGGGAAAGGTTAGCCTAAGTTGAGAGCTAATTAGAGGGCTTTGTTACCTGTTGAACTTTCCAACCCTACAAAAGGCCGTCATTGCCTCTAAGAGGAAGGGGGAAAAAATAGAATAAGGAAAGGGCTTAAGAGTTTGAGGATTGAGGCCTTTGTGCTTTGTGAGTTCTTGTACTCTTTTTTTTTTTTTCGTATAGAGGAATTCTCCGACGCTTCTGCCGTAGATGTAGTCCAAATTAGGTGAATTGAAATCTCTCTGTTTGCGATCACTTGTTTCTTATTCCTGTAATTTTTCTTCGCAATTATTTCCGCTCGATTGTGCACTTGTTCTAACATAGCTACATTGATCCTTGTTGACGCCTGTGACTAAATCTGGAATAAAGCAAATAAATCTGTTAGATAGCTGAAGTGTTATATTTTAAAACTTTTTTAAGTTTAGCTGCTGTACGTTTATGAAACGCTGTGCTTAAAGCAATATTTGACCTACTTCGGTCCAAGGATCCAAAGACCAAACTGCTTCTAGGAATAGCAGTACAATACACTAGTGTGTACCGACTAAGTACTGTCAAGATCTCCTAGATCTATAAGACCTTTCGATCAAGGCAAAACACTGGTGTGTACCGCCTAAGTACTGTCAAGATCTCCTCGATCTATAAGACCTTTTGATCAAGGCAAAAATCTCCTTGATCTGTTAAACCTTATGGTTCAAAACATTTCGGTTAAAACCTTTCGGTTAAAATTTTTCGGTTCAGACAAAGATCTCATTGGTCTGTTAAACCTTTTTGTTCAAAAAACCTTTCAGTTAAGATAAAGATCTTTCGATCTGTACTAACCTTTCAGTTCAGGGTTCTGTTCCTTCGGGCACAAACTAAAGCTTGCACGCTTTCAAAGTCTACAACAGCAGCACAACAACTTAAACACTTCAATGTGTTTTTCATCTATTTAGAGCTGCTCCAAGGGGCTCTATTTATAGGCCTATAATGTTAGCTCAATTGTCATTTGACTGTTACAAATCATAATGAAAATTATGATTGTAACAATAAATGGCTTAATTGTTGTAACTGCTGCA